GCGACCCTGGCCGCGGCGGGTGTGGGCTGCAGAGCCTCCTCAACTGGGATGTCAGCGCTGAAAGTCGGCGAGAAGATTTCTTGGGTGCCAGAGGATGAAGTGACACAAGCACACGTTTCCCTCCTTTCCCCCCTACTTTCATTCCCACCTCATCAAAGAACCCCACCACCACCACCATAAGCATGTCCACAGGTCCCCGACCTGCCCACTTCTCCCAGCTTCTCCACCACCTTTCCTGCATTGGGTGCCAGCCCCGTGCTGATCACCAGCACCTGGTGGCCCAGTGAGCAGGCCTCGGTGCCCTTTGCACATCGAGGGGCACCGTCTACACAGGAAGAGACTGGACTTTGAGGAGTATGGCCAGGGGACTGTTGTATCCAGGGAATGCTAACTGGGTGTTCCCCCAGTGATGTCCCAGGAGGGCCCTCTGCCCAGGGCCTGCTCAGCACAGTGCAGAGATGAGGCCAGGGGCCTGGGTACTCAGATCACAGGCAGGGTCCGTCCCTATGGAAGTCGTTTGTAGACCCCTAAACCACAAAACTCACTGCCACGCGCCGGGACTCATAAACACCCTACAGGACAGAGTGGAACTAACCCTGTGCAAGGGTGTCCAAGGCTGTCAATCTTGACAGGAGCAGAAAGCCTTCACCTCCTCCCTTGGAACAACCCAGCATTTAACACACACACACACACACACACACACACCCAGGGCTCCTTGACTCTCCCATGCCCATGTTAAAATGATGAGCTCAGCCCGAGATGCTGAAGAATGCAACATGAGTCAACGCACATTGGAGGTATTTCGACTCTCCAAATGCATCATGTGGCTGAGGAGGACTATGGCCAGCTGGGGTATACGTGCCCTGTACAGAGGGGGCTGGCACTTGGGGTGCAGGGGGACCAATTGTCCCCACGCTGAAATGTCGGCCCAGTGTTGCCAGATCACCTCATTTATCAAGCGAATTGCCCGTGATCTGCCCTGATTTCCAATGTGGGCACCTAATGTAGCCCTGGCAGATGCATTTGGAGCTTTCCCATGGTGTTCACTGCTGGTGCCAGGAAACTCAGTGTTCTCTTCAGTGCTCTGGGCTCTTCACGCGGGCTGGGCCTATGCCAGTCAGGGAGCCGAGGTGGGTCGCCTCCTGGACCGGCAATTCAGTGACAGGCAGTAGCCCCTTTTGAGAGCCCGGTGGTCAGCAATGGAAGCTGCTTCAAGACTTGTGGAAAGTGAAGGTGCTGGGTGAATGGTACCTTTTGTTACCCCAGGATCCACATTACCCTTAGCCGGTGTGTGTGGAGCACTTGTTGAGGCTCAGATTCATAGGTCATCTCAGTGGATGGGTGGGTGCTGACACAGGGGTGGCCGTGCTTCCTGACACACCCTTCTTGGTGCAAAGAAGGCCTCCCCTCTTCTTTGCACCTCAGACAACCATCTCTGTGTGGCTCCCAAGCCTGAGTTCCCAGGGTCCCCTCAGGGAACCATTCCTTGGGTCCCCACCCCCCAGTCTTGCCATGCCTCCCTCCCCTTGACCTTCATTCTGTTTCATAGACTTCTTGGCCTCCTGTATACTCCTGAGAGAGAAACGGTTCGCTCTGTGGTTTCATTGACATTTGTCTTTTCAAGACAGATGTCCACCAGGATTTTTCATTGCAGAGTCTCGGGTATAACAAGATGGTTTCCTCATTGAAAAGCCTTTCGAATCTTGCAGCTTAGGGACTGTCATAAAGTTTCCAAGAGTGGGAGAAAAACTTCTAATTAAAAACAAAACAGATTTTCCCAATACGGATGAAGCTGGAATGTGCCATTTTAGCCGCAATGACACTTGAGAACAATTCAACAAAACAAAGGAAAAATTAGACTCCTGACTTAGATGTATATGAAGAGTACTTGTTCTTGTAATTGTTGGTTTGACTTCTTAAACACTAGAGAATCATATAAAGATGAAAGGGAAAAAAAAGATTTACAAATCAATGAAAAGTATTCTTTAGAATTGAAGTAGGATAACAAAATATTTTCAGGTTAATACCAAAGCAGCACTTCATTGAAAGAAAGAAACTTTTAAATAGGAACAGTGGACAAGTTTTGAGAGTATTCGATAAATCAATTAGTGAAGAGAAATGAATGAGATACGCAAAATGGCAAAAGATATACTCACTGATTTGCCAGGAAATGGTGACATTGAAAAAGTTCGCACTCACTGCCACAAATTAGGAAATAGAGTGTCATTGAAGTTTATCGAATATATACCATGCACTATCACAAGAATAAACAAATATATCTTAAACGAAGGATAGCCAAAATGCTCCTTAGAAAGGAGGGTGGCAAGACTAATATACTTGAGAGATGTTACGAGGAGGGAGGGAGCAGTCCCAGGAGAAGGACATCATGCTTGATGAAGTCGAGGGTCTGAATAAAAGCACCCTCAGCCAGACGGATCGACCACAGTGGCCACAGCAGTAGGCTCAGACAGAACGACGCTGGTGAGAATGGCCCCGTCGGGGCAGTGTCAGTTGTTCAGTGTTCTGTTCATAGGTCACCGTGACTCAGATCTGACTCGACGGCACCACCACAACTGCTTTGTGTGTCAGCAGCCCTAGGGTCCATGCATGGAATGATCACAAATAGGAGGTCAGTCTTTTCCCAAATTTCACAATTCTCAAAATATACATGTCATGCTTCATCATGACTTCTGAGGCTGGGGGAAAAAAAAAAAACTTCTGAAAAAAAAGAACTTCCCCAAATTTTCAGTAAGAGAGGCATGTGTGATTCAGTGGCTGAAGCAGGAAGACCTGATCTTCTCTCTGTGTGAAAAACCATGTTCACAGGGCATTGTCTTATGCAGGTGTAATCAGGGCACACAGTCAAAAATACCGCCTCAAAACATATTAGGAATTGTGTCTAGCGGTTACTTAAAAGTCATTGCATATTTTTCTGCATTTTGTGATGTTTCTGGGGTTTTTTGTTTGTAACTTAATATGATATGTTTTCATTCTAAAGAAATTCTCTTGGCATATAAGGAGCATTCTGGCTGTACTTCTCCCAAGACAGGTACCGATGGCTTTTGAACTATGGTGTTTTCTAAGAAGATGGAAAGTACCATGAACTGCCAAAAGGACAAAAAAGGTTCTTAACAAGCCACCGGAATTAAAATGTGGGCCCCCAATGCCGCCTCTTACCACCACGCCCTGTCTATGGGAGTTTCTGAGCGAGAAGCAGAAGCTTCCAGGAAAAAGTTCCATCAAGTTGTTTGTGACTCATAGCAAGCCTGTGTACCGCCTGGTCCTGCGCCACCCACAGTTGGCCCTCTGCTTGAGCTCCTCGGAGCCAGTGTCCATCCATCTCCTTGAGCACCTTCTTTTTCGCTGCCCCTCTGCCTAGCATGATATCCGTCTCCAGGGATCGGCCTCTCCTGACAACATGTCCAAATGGGATGAGACAAAGTCTTGCCACCCTAGCCTCGAAGGAGCACGCTGGCCGTACTGCTCCCAAGAAGGATCTGTCTGTTCCTTCGTTTGCCAGTCCCTGGTGCTGGCAGTATTCTCCCCCAGCACCACAGCTGCGAACGTATCCTCAGTCTTCCTCAGTCAGTATCCACCTGTGACGTGCATGTGAGGTGATTGAAAAGTAGGAGGGGCGTTTTCAGCAGTGACCAGACACCAGCTAAGGCATTTGAGGACAAAGGAGTCATTTGGCTGAAGGAGTGACTAAGGCTGTCTGGCTAGGGTGTCTGGGGCAAGGCCCCCTTTCCCCTGAGTACCTGCTCACCTCACCGGCCTCATCTCTCTACCTGCCTCCAGGTCTTCTTGTTGGCACCTTGGATGTGGTGCTGGACTCCAGTGCCCGAGTGGCCCCTTACCGCATCCTGCACCAGACCCAGGACTCACAGGTCTACTGGACAGTGGCTTGTGGTAGGTGCCGGGGTCACAGGTCGCAAGTGGGGCTCTGAGAGGGAGGGAGTCCTGGACTAGGGGTCACTTGCTAAGAACCTGTGCGGCTGTGGCTCAGTCCATTGAGATAGCACGGCCCATATGCCCACTTGAGGGCCATGGAAGGAGCCATTGTTCCAACCTCAGAAGGCAGCTCTCTTGTCCACAGGTTGGGGCAGATGTAGGAAAGTTCTGGAAGCAAGAGTGCCTCCCTGAGTGCTCAGGCGCAACTTCGCCGGCACCGTTCCTCAAGGTTGCTAGCTCTCCTCCCAGGAAGAAGTACACCCGCCCTTCCTGATAGGCCGGGGGAAGTCCCTCTTCAGTGGTGACTGAAAAATAGCAGTAACAGTGTTGAGAATGATGAGGGCAACAAATGTACAAATTTGCTCGACACAGTGGATGGATGGATGGATGGATGGATTGTGATAAGAGTTGCATGAGCCCCCAATAAAATGATTTTTTCAAAAAGAATAGCAGTAACAGCCACCATGCAGACAGCACTTCCTGTGTGCCAGGCCGGTGGGTGAGCCTCTCAGAATTCCCCGATTCTGGACACAGTCAGACAGGGCTGGAGTCCAGACCCAGAGCACCTGCCCGTACACTCAGTGTGGACCCTAAACTGCAGCAGGGTCAGGCCTCAGATGAATGGTTTGCTTGGGAGCTTAGGCAGAAGTGGCAAACTCCAATGAGAGAGCTCTTCCCCGGGCCGCCTTTCCGGGAGGGGTGAGGAGGCTCGAGTAAAGCACAGGGAGGGCCTCAGCTGACCAGACGGTGCCCTGCTCAAGCTCCGGGCACGGGACTCGGTGGTCCCCTGAGCCCAGCTGTCCTCTGCCCCCTGGTGTCATGAATAAATGAAGGTGTGGTGAGCTGGGTTTGCCCCAGACCAGGCCTGGTAGGCCCCAGGGCTGCTAGGTCCAGAGCCTAAGTGGCATGCCAGGGATAATAAGGAGGTGGGAGTGAGGGCAGCCCAGGGAGAGGGGACCCTCCATCTAAGTGGGGAGAGGGAGGTTGGTGTACTCCTGGACCTGAAGGAGACTCGGCACTCTGTCTCTGGAGAGCAGAAGTGGAGGGGCAGTGGCCGCAGAAGAGCATGGGGTACTGTGTGGGCATGCCTCTGACCCGCAGCAGGCCTGGGGCCAAGCTCCAGGCCCAAGTCCTCAGCCTCCCGGCCCACACACTGTCCTTGTTCCACTCCTCCAGGGCCCCTGGCCCTGGCCTTGAGTCAGGTCACCGCCTCCTCGTCTGCCAGGCCTCTGCCCTCACCCTCACTCCCTTCCCAGCTGGGTGCCAGCAGCAGCTCTCCACAACTAGACGTGGGCCCACTGGCACCTGCCCCAGCATACCCCGCACGCCAGCGTGGCATTTAAGGCCTTTCAGGAACCTGACCCTGCCTCCATTCCTGACCTCATCTCTCCAGCTCAGACCCTGGCCTCAGCCAGACCAGACCACCCTTGGGCCTCCAGCTTTCCCAGCCACGCACCCCCTCCTGGGTCCGGGGCAAGAAGGCTGTCCTCATCCTCCTGACCTGCTCCTGCTCAGCGGGGATGCTGCCCAGTGCCCTTCCTGGGGAAAGCCTTCCCCTCAGCCCACTCGCTGCCTTCCAGCTCCTCTGGGGCTTGTATCGCAGCCAGCACTGTGTCTCACGATGGACTGGGGCAGCCTGGGGCCACTGTCTGGGCTGGTCACTTCCTCCCTCTGTGACCTTGGCCAAGTCACTTAACCTCTCTGACCTCTCTGAGCCTCAGCTTTATCCTGCAACAGTGAAAATAATGGCTTTGTCTCTGAGGTGTTCTAAGAATTAAATAAAATAATCCACGAAAAGTTGTAAACACAGACTGTAGCACTTAATAATTTAATTAGTTATGACATATTCATTACGTTTTCCAGCACCTAGCATAGCCATGGCATAGCTTGCGGGTTTACTTAGCAGTGAGTGATGATTGAGTCACTTTGAATAAATCATCCTTAGTTCAAAGTAACTCACATGTCCATATTATCTTTAAAGTGCATGCAGACCCACAGAGGCAGTGTAGGCAAGAAAGTGGGCGAACAGAATGGCAGCGTGAGCAAATTGAGTGAGAGAGATTCTTCCCCTCCCAGCCAGCCCTGACCTCCTGGCCCCAGGGAAGGAAGAGGCCATGGGAGAAGCAAGGGGAAAGGACAAACCAAAGGCAACGGGTGTAGATGCTGCCAGGGCTACTCAGGGAGAGTTTTGATCTGTCAATTGTCCGAGTCTATGATTCAGGGATTCATCACTTTCAAGTGAGCAGCCTCCCCTTGGCCATTCGAAGGAGGCTCTTCCTGTGGAATTTTCTGGTAGGGTGGCGAGCCACTTGAGCTGAGGTAAAAAAGAAACAAACAAATGAACCCTGACAACGGCCGACACGGCTGCCAGCCCGCAGAGGGTGGTAGGACTGGCCCAGCCTGGCAGAGAGACCTTGGAGCTGAAGATCAGGACAGTGGTCGGGGCGGCATCCGGCCTCGGTCATCGGCACAGGGGAAGAAGGCTGCCAGGCAGGTGGGGGAGGGAGGGTTGGACGTCGAGTCCCTAGCCAACGGGCCAATGTTCAGGAGTCACGTTGACCACATTTTCCCACTAATTCCCTCATGTGAATGTGTGTCCCTCCCTTGGGCAGCTGGAGACGGGTGCAGGGTACCAGTCCTTTGCTGCGCTTTGTTTGTCCACGCAGAAAACAGTGCTTGTCTGCAGACGCCGTGCCAGACACTGGCAGGATGCTGGACGGCTGGGGTGGCCAGGCCCAGCAGAGCACGTGCCCGGTCATCTTGCTTCCCTCCTTGGGCTACCTTTCCCAATTCCTGGATAGGAGGAGAGATGATAGCTGCCCTGCACAGCTTTGGGAATGTTGCTCTGCAGCCTTGTCCCAGTCTCTTCTTGTCCACAGGGCCCCTCCCTGGAGCCGGCAGGAGGGGAAAGGGCCATCCAGGAGAGGCTGAAGGGGTCAGATGGGGCGGGGGGCCGGGGTGGGGGTGCGAGTTGCTGGAGGAAGCAGGAGCCAGCTGGGCTGAGATGGGAGGGCAGGGTGTTACAAAGGCCTGAGTGCATGTCCTCACCTGGCTTTAGAGAGTTGCCTGATAGCAGCCTGCTCACCTGGCAGGAAACCAGTGCCAGGGCCTAGAGTCCTACAGGAAGCCCCAGCTGGCACCCCGGAGTCCTCAGAAGAGAGGCTGAGTCTGAGTAAGCGCAGATAATCTTTCAACTCAAGGGAAAGTCTCTATAAGCAAGTACCTTGCAGGAGCATCAGCAGTTTCAGGATGACACGCAGGAGACAGACAACAGCTCTCACTCGGAGGGCTGGGTGACAGAAGGTTCACCTTCCTGGTGATTCTCTGCAGTTCAGCCTGAATTCTCTCTTTGTTATGATTATTATTTTTGTGTGTGATATATAAGGTTTAAGAATCGATAGGGTGAGCAGCTTGGAGGTCCTAAGCACTTGACTATTGCACATTAGCTCGACCGTTTTCATCTCTGTCCTTTGACTTTATGTTTAAAGCTGGCACTGTGTGATTCCCTCCCCCCCCCCCTTCTCTACCAAACCTCCCCTAGGTTCTTCCCGCAAAGAGATCACCAAGCACTGGGAGTGGCTGGAAAACAACCTGCTCCAGACGCTGTCCATCTTTGACAATGAAGACGACATCACCACCTTCGTTAAGGGCAAGATACACGTAAGCATCCCACAGAGGCAGAAGCCAGGGCGCGGACTGGCCACTCCCCGAGGGTTAGGCAGGGCTGGGAGAGGCCCGCAGAAGCGAAGGGGAAAGTCGAACTCCATCTGCCCAGAAAGGCCCTTCTTAGCCAACCAGCCACCGCAGTCTGGCTACATCTTCACGTTGTTTCAATTCTTTGCAAAATGTCTTCAAACGGATATTGCAGATCTGCAGCCGTTTGCTAGTTCTTTGACCAATAGAGCAAGAAGCTAGAGCGGATAGAGTGTTTTGGGGGTGATTTGTGTGAAGTTTGAAATGGCTCTCACCAGAGGCAAGATGCCAGCATGGCTGGTTCTTCCTGAAGGCTCTGGAAGATAATTCATTTTTTGCCTTTTCAGCTGCTAAAGGCCACCTACAGTTCTTGGCTCCTGGCCCCTTCCTTTATCTTGAAGGCCAGCAGTGTCGCATCTTCAAATCAGTTAAATTCTCTCACTGCCCTTCTGTTGTCATAGCCCTTCTCTGACTGGCTCCCCGCCTCCCTCTTACCTGGATGAAATAATTGAAAAGAAAATTACGTTGATAATATATAAGATGATAAAAGAAAAAATTACTTAGATAATATATATGTATACAAAACAAAGCATTTGCCACTGTAACCATTTTTAAGTGTTCAGTGACTTTATTCATTATATGCACCATGTTTTACAACCATCACCACTCTCCATTTTCAAATGTTTCTCCTCAGCCTAGACAGAAAGTCCCAGCCTAGTAGCACAGTGGGTGGTGCACTGGGCTGCCAACTGCAAGGTCAGCAGTGTGGACCCCCAGCCCCTCCTTGGAGAAAGGTGAGGTCTTCTCCCTTAAAGAGCTACAACCTCAGAAACCCAAAGGGGCAGCTCGACCCTGGCCGCCTGGGTTGTTAGGGGTCAGAATTGACTCGATGACAGTGGGTTTGCTTTGAGCTTGGAAGAGAAGCTCAGTGCCCTGTAAGTAAAAACTGCCCGTCCCCCCCGCACCAACCCCTGGACCCTCGCTCGGTGAGGCTTTTGTCTCCATCCATTGCCTGCTCTAGAGGCTTCACGCAGGTGGGACCATGCACTATTTGTCATGCTTTTGTGGCCTTTCTTCATGCACCCTAACGCTTTCCAGATGCACTCATGCCGAAGCGTGTGTCCGAACTCCGTGTTTCTTTGTGGGACCATTTCGTCTTCTTAATCGTTTGGGGTTCGTTATCATTTCCTCCAGACATCTCTCAGACACATAGCCAAGTGAGCGTCCTGTCCAGAGGAGCAGGTGTCCCTGCAGGGAGTTGAGGGAACGTGCCCAATTACAACTGCTCCATCCCCCAGAGCAGTCAATTCCATGCCCACCTCTTCTTGTAGCCCCGAGACCCTCTGGCCGGCCATCTTGGGGCCAGGGGCCCTCACCTGGCCGCAGGGAACCTGCCCAACAAGCCAAGCCCTCTCGTACCCCCAGGGTATCATTGCCGAGGAAAACAAGAGCTTGCAACCTCAGGGAGACGAGGACCCTGGCAAGTTCAAGGAGGCCGAGCTGAAGATGCGGAAGCAGTTTGGGATGCCCGAGGGGGAGAAGCTGGTCAACTACTACTCCTGCAGCTACTGGAAGGGCCGAGTGCCCCGGCAGGGCTGGCTCTACCTCACCATCAACCACCTATGCTTCTACTCCTTCCTGCTGGGGAAGGAAGGTGGGCACACCGGGCAGCTGGGGCGGGCGCGGGGCGGGCTGTGGCCTATGCCAAATGGTGCTGCAGGCTTCCCCTCTGTCTCTATCTGCATCTCTTATACCCCGGCTCCCTGGCCTCACTTCCAGATTATGGTGGGCCCTCCCTCCTCTAGCACTCGGCACCCACCCACAGTTGCTGGAACACCCAAACTTCAGACTGACACCCTTGGCTCCTGAGGCTCCTGAACCCACTAGGATGAAACTTTGCAGTGAACTGTCTTTCAAGGAAAGAGTCCTGGTGGCATAATGGTTATGTATTGGGCTGCTTAACCTCACAAGGTCAGCAGTTCAAAACCACCAGGCACTCTGCAGGAAAAAGACATGGCTTTCTACTCCCATAAAGAGTTAGAGTCTCAGAAACTCACAGGGGCAGTTCTACTCTGTCCAATAAGATTGATGTGAGTCAGAATCGACTGGATGCCAGTGAGTTTGGGTTGGTCTTTCAAGGGCTTCCTCTTTTCCTTTAAGTTGGTGTGTTCCCGGGAATTATGCATTTCCTCGTGTGATTCCAGGTGACCCTGTGCCTTGTCCCTGCACTACTGCAGTCCTTGTGGGAAACCTTGGCTTGAGGCTGTAACAAACCTCCCCAGCCTGACAGTCTGGACCCTCACCCACTGTGTCCTCTCCCTCTGTCCCTGTCCCTGCCCCTCCAGAGAAAGCGCCCAGGGCTTTGGCTACCGAGAGCAGTTACCACTTCCCAAGCCCAGTAAGCCCTCCTCCCACCTCAGCACCCAGCCTCCCCCTGCCCGCGCTCACCCTCCTCACCTGGCCGCGTGCCACTCACTGTCAAGGCTTGGATGCCAGTCTCCTCCTGGGTCTGGGGGAGCTTCCCCCGTCCTCACCAGGCAGCAGTGTCCTCTCTCTGCTGGTCACATCATGTTGTTGTGTTGTGACTTTTGGGTTTCTGGGGGCCACAATCCCCTTAGTTCACCTCTGTTCCTACACTCACTCTTCAGCCACTTACCAGGCGAATGCTCCCAGAGTGTGTTCCGGGCCAGGTGCCCGGTGGGGCTGAGGCAGGGGAGACCTATCGGGGCCAGTGGCACCCTTTCTCGGGTCCTGGTGTAGGTGGGAGTTGGAGGCCCCTCGCAGAGTCCTGTGGCCCCCATGGTAACTGGCGGTGTGCCGGCCTGCATGTCCAGTGAGCCTCGTGGTGCAGTGGGTGGACGTCACGAGGCTGGAGAAGAATGCCACCCTGCTCTTCCCCGAGAGCATCCGTGTGGACACCCGGGACCAGGAGCTCTTCTTCTCCATGTTCCTCAACATCGCTGAGACCTTCAAGCTCATGGAGCAGCTGGCCAACCTGGCCATGCGGCAGCTGCTGGACAGCGAGGGCTTCCTGGAGGACAAGGCCCTGCCCAGGCCCAGCCGGCCGCACAGGAACATCTCGGCTCTGAAGCGGTATGTTGCTCCCGGCAGGAGGCCTCCAGCGTGCCTGAGTGGTGGGTCCCTCCCTTGGCAAGATTCACTGGTCCTGTGTGGTACCCAGATAGGGAGACTCAGGGAGAGGTCTGTCTCCTTGCCCTTCAAAGGATTCCCACTCGGAGGAAGGGCAGGGCACCACAGTGTCGCATGGAGAGGGCCCCCGGAGAGCTTAGCCTCATAAAATAGAGGGGCGTAGAGGAAAGTGCTTTGCCGTTTTTGTCCCTGGTCAGGGTCAGAAGGAAGTGATTTCCACTTTCTGCCTTGCCAGCTCACCTTCAGCTACAGGTGGTGGAGCCAGGATATGAACCTGGAAGCCGAGTAGAGACCCTGTAAGGGTGCCCTCTGGTGCTCTGAGACCCTCAGGCAGCTGAACCCCAAAATGCTCTGGTGGCTCTGGATACTGTGCACAGCCTGCACCCCATCCTAACTGACCGCCGTGGCTAGAGGGCCCCTTGCTGATGGGCCCAGGCTTCCTGGTCTGCCCTTCACCCCGGGCTGGGGAGCTGGGCAGGGTGAACAGTTCCAGGCTGGGGATGGATGGGCAGAAGATGAACAATGAAGAGAACTGGGCACGGGCTGGTCCTCAGACTGGCTCCCCCAGCCCTGCACTCCGATTACAGAGCTCTGCAACCTCAGGGCTCAGTGACCCCGATGTCCTGCAGCCAGTG